TCACGGGACTTACAAACTCACAAACCACTGCCAACCGACTAGAATTAGACGATAGAGTGGTTAGATCCCTATTCATTGGACACTAACAAACACCTGGAACCGTACCGAAAGAAGAAGAGACGAGCGCAAATAAATCAATTGTTTTATACTTCCTGGTGTAAAAGATATTGGATTTCGGATATCGGCTGACTCGACAGACATCCATTGGATTCGTGTAGCAGTATTTTATATTGTGATTCAGAGAGAAGAGTAAGTTTCGTGAGAAAAAAACAATACGGACACAAGAATACAGATGAACAAACTGGTGAAACAAATCAATCGAATTGTGATTTAGTGATAATTTTTCAATTTAGAAATAACGACAGAAGATAGATGATATTTTTTAAATATCAATAAATTCGCTAAACGAATTTCGCATACTTGGTGTCTATTCAATATCTATTAGCTTTGTTAGATCTTGGTGGCTTGTATTGACTTCGAAGTAGAGCTCACCATTTTAGTGGCTTGAGACTTGACTCTAATTGGATGAATGATCGTGTGTGCAATGCAATAAATCTTCCTGTGCTGCATTTCTGTATATTATACTTGAGCAAATCAAGTTTGTGCAACAGCAGTAGTATTAACCCAAATATAGTGTTGCGTATTAATTTATTTTATGCATTCATCTCTATGCAGACAGACGTGACAATGGAAAGCGTACAAGCAAAGCGTAGCAAACTGGAGAAGGCTAATGAGCCAACTCTATTTGTGCTGAAGAATGACTAAGAATTTATAGTCAAGTAATAGTCAATAGGCTTGACATGCAATAAGCAAGTTAACATGTACGCACGCACACAACCAAACGTACAATAATCGATACTGTTATCGAATTATTACAAATACAAAAAATAGTCGATCATTAATTTGAATAAATTAAACGACTTACTTATACGTAGACAAATGGTGAGATGCCACACTGTCTTGTAAATTTCACAATTTTTTATACGGCAATATAAACAAGTAAGAATGGGCTGTACCGAGAGAAAAGGAATCAAGCGAAAAGAAATCACCTGGTTTATACTACTAGTTCGTGAATAAGATATTGGATGTATAGGATATTGAAGTATCTTATATAGTTGTAGTCAGTTGGTGATGAAATGAATCTCGTAAATCAACTACTCAGTATTCTTATACAATGGCATTGAAACTATTCATAAACCTGTGTTTGGTAATGACTCATAGAACTGCAATTTTGAAGTAATCAAGAATAGAAGTCTGATTTTGGTGGATACTAAATTCACATCATTTCATGTGTGTGCCACACTTATAAAGTTTCCAGGTATTATTGATTGTGCGTAGGTAAATATAATCAGCCTTGTATAAACTGGTGAAGATTCCTGTGCCTTGTTTTGGGTTCTGCTAGTGGTCCAAACTAAAATATCACTTAACCAAATAACGTTATTATTGTGTTTGACTCTCGTTGATAAATAATCATGTATGCAATGCATTTGATACAGAAAATGTTGGAAGATACTGAGAAGGAGAAAGATGAATCAATTGAGATGCAAGAACTAGAGAAATATCCCAAGAATCTAGAAACCACATCAAAAGAACCAAAATATGCTCCTGAAACATTGCAAAATGATGTAGTAAGTTCGATGATTTTGAAGAATTTCAATGATTTTATGTGTCATTTCTCATTTCAATTGTTGTGCAGGATTCGTAGATAACTTCAATCAGTTTATCGTTTCTGTTGCGTATTGTAACAAGTAGAAATGAAATTGCATAGAAACCGCATACTTCGAAATCGGTTCTCTCACAACCTACTTGTTTGCACATATAATTGAAAGACAATTCATCTACTCAGTAGGATCTGATAGATGGTGATGGTTAGAGAGTAGTGTCACTCTTAATTGCAATAATCCTACAAATTTTGTATAATAGTTGTTTATTCGATAACTGCTAGTACTAGTTGATGATCAGGTACATCGACAATTCGATGTGGTATTATGAACCTGTCTGTTGTATATAATTGTTGTCAGTTTGTGATGAAAATGATCGCGTTAATCAATTCAATATTCTGAAACATGATAGTGAAATATCGAGCAAACATGTGAGTAATTCATGGTTTAGTGATATACACGTTATTAGAATTCAAGAATTGTTTCTGCTTTTGGTGAATACTAAATTCACATTACTTCATGTGTGTGCATCACTTTATCGATGTGTGTGAATAGTGTTGTCAAGGTGCCTCATTCTGAAAATTAGAACAAGACATGACGACTGGCATTTCTTGTGTTTTCATTTTGATGGTTATCCGGCTTCACTCTGAAATACATGAATATTTATATGAAAATAATAAACTAACGAAGGCAATGTGAGTCAGTATTCACCATGCAAAATATTGCGCCCATACACACACACACATTATAGGTAAAGGTACAAGTTGATGGTCGGAAGACATTTGTGCTGATATTAGTAAGAAATATAAATTACGTACGTTGACAAACGTCTTATCAATAGTTCACAACATTGGAGACATTGGGTCAAACGTGGCTAAATGGACTTAAATTAATGATTAGAAAACATTAGAACCTTAACGTGATAAGACGTGTGTACATAATTAGATGTTGAAGAATATGAGAGAAAGGAATAGGTTGAAAATTACAAACAAATACAGGATGTGAAAATCCTGCTAATGATAACAAGAATAAAAATGCAATGCAAACATTTTTCAAAGCGTTGATTAAGTTATATCTGACAACAGAAGGGATATGGGTGTCACGAATTTCTTGTTCCTATGGCTTCTGCTATGTATAGGAGACGGGATCGAACTCTGTTGTGAAACGATGTAGATATACGAAAGATCACTGAAAATGATCTAGATTTATCTACAATATGGCCACTGTCAACTAGATGTGCGAAGTTAGGACTGCGCATCTTTTTATCTAGCCGTTGATAAACCATGCCGTGCGACCAACTGATCACCGAATAGGCGACGTGATAGTTGCTGATATCCAGAAACCCTACTGCCCTGAAACCAACGTATTCACTCAAATCACGGGACATACAAACTCACAAACCACTGCCAACCGACTTGAATTAGACGATAGAGTGGTTAGATCCCTATTCATTGGACACTAACAAACACCTGGAACCGTACCGAAAGAAGAAGAGACGAGCGCAAATAAATCAATTGTTTTATACTTCCTGGTGTAAAAGATATTGGGTTTCGGATATCGGCTGACTCGACAGACATCTATTGGATTCGTGTAGCAGTATTTTATATCGTGATGCAGAGAGAAGAGTAAGTTTTATGAGAAAAAAACAATACGGACACAAGAATAAAGATGAACAAACTGGTGAAACAAATCAATCGAATTGTGATTTAGTGATAATTTTTCAATTTAGAAATAACGACAGAAGATAGATGATATTTTCTAAATATCAATAAATTCGCTAAAATAATTTTGCATACTTGGTGTCTATTCAATATCTATTAGCTTTGTTAGATCTTGGTGGCTTGTATTGACTTCGAAGTAGAGCTCACCATTTTAGTGGCTTGAGAATTGACTCTAATTGGATGAATGATCGTTTGTGCAATGCAATAAATCTTCCTTTCCATTTCTGTATATTATAATTGAGCAAATCAAGTTTGTGCAACAGCAGTAGTATTAACCCAAATATAGTGTTGCTTATTAATTTATTTTATGCATTCATCTCTATGCAGACAGACGTGACAATGGAAAGCGTTGTTCTAGTAGTTTTATTTGCCGATGGTTTGATCTTCAATGGGGAACGTGACATCGACGTACCTGCTATGTAAATCAACTTTCTTAATAGCCTCATTAAGTGATTCGTTTTCTACCCTTGCTATGAAGAGATCAGCTGGAATTGTGTCTAGACGTGAACCCATGTCTATCCTGTCTATTAGTATTGTTGAACGTTCATGCTACAACTTAGGAGCAGTTATTTTAGGCAATCCTTGGGAAAATTAGTCAATTTTATTTCTGAATGATAAAGATTCCCATAGTGAAAATTAGAAAAACACATATAAGCGAACAATATTGTTTTCGATTAGATCATCATCAGTGTACTTAATTACCTACTTTCGCCTGTTTCCGTCAAATTAGCATAGGCCTCCTACCAGTTTTCTCCAATTAACTCTCTTCTGGTCTTCCCTTTCCAATTCTGTCCAAATTTAGTTCATTCTTCTCATGGCTTTCTCTATTTCTCGGCGTAATATGTTTTTTGGCTTTCCTCTTTTCCTGTTTCCTTGAGCGTTGCAAGTGAGGGCTTGTCTTGTGACGCGGTTAGGTGTTTTCCTCTATGTGTGTCCTATCCTTTTCCACCGCTTCTTTCTGATTTCCAACTCCGCTGGAATCTGGTTTGTTCTCTCCCACAGTAGGTTGCTGCTGATCGTGTCTGGCCAACGAATACTAATTATTTTGCGTAGTCCTCTGTAATGAACACTTTATCTTCGGATGGTGGCTTTGGTAGTTCTCCAAATTTCCGTCACCATAGTGTCGAAGAAGCCTCCAACAGTGTTTCCTATCCACGCTATCGAATGCTTTCTCGTAGTCGATGAAGTTGATATAGAGCGGTGAGTTCCATCTATCGATTGTTCCACAATGATCCGTAATGTAGCAATTTGGTCAGTACACGATCGATCCTTCCGAAATCCGGCCTGTTGATCTCGAAGTTGGGCGTCTATGAAGTCCTTCATTCTGTTCAACAATACCTTTTTGAAGAATTTGCCTGGTGA